AGCTGCACCAGAGAGAAAACCTTTCAAAAAAGGCAAACTGATCCTGTTCCTTCTTTTCAGCAGCAGGAAAAGGACATATAAAATATTTCTGGTGGGAATGTATGATGGTATTTCGAGGGAGTGGCTGCCTTTATGTCCCTGTGCCTTCCTCATCCACAAAAATAGCCAAAAGAAGATGGAATTAAATTAAAAAGGAGGCCAAAGCAGCAGCTGAACTGAGGTTAAAACACTGCAAGTTTTCCAAATTCTGCAGCTGCATTAACTGCACCTTGGAAAGGACTTATTCTGAAGGTGTTGCTAAAGCAGAATTTGCTGCATTTGGTAAGAACTGTAAGTAAAATTACTTGAAACAATCAGTAACAGATTGTGGGGCTTTGACAACTTGCTCTCRCATTAACTTGAAATGCTAAAGAAGTATTTTCCAAGATTCCTCAGCAAATACATAACTGGTGAAAAYTGTAGATTTGGGTCATCACATATCATTCTCTTCTAAAAACAAAACTCCCGACCCAAACTTATCAAAAGGTCCATGGTGGTTKTCATTTTCTCCTGTTATTTGAGCTATAGCTCAGACAGATTCAAAGATTTAACTCACATTTGTCAACTCAAAATGTTTTGTTCAGATAAATCTTTCACACATGAAATACAGTGGTATTTTCAAACTGGACCTAACCATACATCAACCTCAGCCCAGAATACTAAAAAAGAACAAATTGTGAATCTTGGCACTGGGAACTTTTCTCAGTGAACAACTGAGAAGTTTGAATGTTTATAAGCATTTGGAACATTTAAAAACTGATTTGGTCTTTCACATATTTGATCTACAATAATTATTTAATTAGCTCTAGCTCACTTCAAGGTTTTTATTTTGAAAAGCTATTTCACAGTGAAATCCTGAAGTAGAATTCATTCCAGATAAAGATAAATAGAGCAAAAAGAAGTATGATGGCACAACAAATGTGGCTGAAGACACATATTCTGTTCAATGTAAACATTTTTGGAACATTCATTCTTTCAAATCAAGACAAATTCAGGTATTTTCTTCATTCCCCCTATTTTCAAATGTAGGCCCAGATGACTGGGCAAATGGAAAAGGCTTCAAGTCCAGAATTGCTTTTCATTTTAAACTGAAACAGTAGCTGCAGTTGGAAAGAATACCTTCAACTTTTCAACCAAAAGCAATTACAAGAAACCCTGTATTTTTTCTGGTTTGTCACACTTGAAAGCATATTGTGTGCAAACCTGTGCAGTCTGTTTGTAAGGATTCTTCTGAGCAAAAAGAAACAAATAAAACCTTAACAGAATGACAATGATAATTCAAGTTCATAGCAACATTTTTGCTCAGTTACTACAAAGGATTTACATCCTGTTAAATATTGGCCTTTTTTTTCTTAATAAACAGCATGCAACTGTAAACAAAAAAAAAACCCCAATGAACAACAAACCAATCAATCATGATCATGGCAATACTTTAATAAGTTTTTAGTGTATTGATAAAATATGTTCTATACTTAATCAAACCACATCTATCTTTTACCCACAGACTGAGAGGAGGACCTTCTTTGAAATCCTCACACCATCATTATTTAATATTCCTGAATCTACTTTCACTCCAAATGAAYTTATTGGTGACAGCAACTGTCCCAGTGTAGCTGAGTATGTGTATTCCTATCATCTGCTGATGTTAAAGGAAAGGTAAACAGCCCTTCTGTAACCATAAATGAGTTGAAATACTCTGGTTTGTTTTGGGATGTTCCTCCTTTCAAGGACAGTGGAGGGAGAGGTACAAATTACACAAATTACACATTCCTGGAGGAGTCTCAGCGGTGGGGAAGAAGCTGCTGCTCTCTGGGACTGCTCCTTTTTCCTTCTTCTTTGGACTTTTTTTTTTCCCCTCGATTTTTTCTCTTCATCATCTGAGAATCAGAAGATTCCTGTAGATGACAAACTACAAAGATCCTCCAGTGAACCACCAGAACAATTCTGTCCAGCCCCTCTGGGGGATCGGAGGTGAAGCCACTCCCAGGAGGGAAGAGAAAGGTTTTAAGATCCAACAGCTGCTCCCACAGGTTTTTTTTGTTGGTTTTTTTTTTTTTTTTTCCCCTCTCTTCTTTGTGGGCATATTAATTTGTTGTTGTTGTTTTGTTAAATAAGTAGTTTTTTTTCTTTTCACTTTCCTCTCTGTGAAAGAAAAGTTTGTCTCTAGGACCTGGGTGGGGAAAGGAGGGGGGTTTGCTGGAACTTGGGAGTGTTTGCACCCATTAAATTAATTCAAACCACAACAGCAACCCAGGAGCTTACTGCTGACACTGCCAAGAACCAGGAGAGCACTAAATCCCAGCATCAGGCAGAAGGTCAGGCTCACTGAAATGCCACCAAATC